GACGATGCCGTCCTCGAAGTGTTCCCGCGCCTCATCAACCAGATGGTTGTGGAGATGATGAGGCCGGAGGCGGCGAAAAGCGAGGCCATCGCATTATTCGAGGCCCTGTGCAATTTCTGGCGCACCTTTCGGTGGCTGGTGGACACCCGGAACTCCCTCCGTAAGAAGATCGGTAGTGCGCTGTCGAGTTTCGTGGCTGACGAGTCTTCCCGGCACAAGGACCGCTGCCCGGACATTGGAGCGCTGCTAGTGCAGTATACCGTGCTGCAGGACGATGCGGCCTGCCCGAAGCGCCAGCAATTTATCGACGCGTTTTCCGACGAGAGTTCGCTGCGCTGGGTGATGTGGTGGCAGCGCTCCGACACCAGGCCAGAGACTGCTGCGGTGTTCGAGGCTACGAGAGTCTCCCGCGAGATCTTAATGTTCCAGATGATGGTGATCGACGTCGTCATGAGCGACGTGGCAGTGACTGTGAGGGACATGGAGGCGTCCAACTGCAAGCTGCCTGCCAGGCTGGAGGAGCTCCAGGCGCGATGGCGGGAGCGGAAGCAGTCCGTCCGCGACTGGTCCGCATATTTCGATTGCATCGGGGCCGCCCGGCCGAACGCCGCGAGCTCGTCCGATTGGATCGCAAGCTGTGTGAGGCGCGCCGCCGACAGGGGGCCCAAGTACGTCGGAACCAAGGGCGCCGGCAAGGGTGGAAAGGGCAGCTTGAAGGGGAAGGGCAAGACGCGGTGAGCCTCGGTTCCACTCGGTATCCGCCTCGAGGCGCCTCGTGAGGTTCGCTCACGGGTGGCGTGGTCGTCGTGCGCCGGGGCAGGCGCAGTGCACAGTGTACAGTCATTTGGCGACCGCCCGCCGCCATTCACAGATGCTCGAGAGTGCTGATGCCAAAGCATGGTGTACGAAACATGCACGGCGAACTATCTTCCTTCTTGGTCTGCCTGCTTGGCCCGTCCATGGTGGTGGGGCTCGGGTGTGAGGTGCTGAGATCCAGCGTTGGTCGGGCGCAGTAGCGTGAGCCAGGAGGCAGTGCGGGCCACACTATCTAGTTGCGTTACCGCGCAGATCCGCCACAGCGTTACGGGGGTCGGCGGCCGGGGTGAGGGGCGGCTGGGGGTGGGCAGGGAAGCCTCAAGGGGAAGCCTCCAGTGGAAGCCGTGAGAGGCCAGGCCACGGGTCGCTACGGAAGGAGCGGCCGGCCACGCCGAGAGGCGTGGCCAGCTCCTGAAGAGCGCTCAGCGCGGGCATTTGCTCGGGATGAGGGCATGGGGCCGAGACGCCAGCCGCGTCACAGCGTGGTGGCGGACATGCGCTCCCCGCGCCCTTCTCGTTGGAGAGGTGGGGGAGGGTGAGAGAGGGGAGGTGGGGAGACGGGTGGAGGATGTGAGGATCTGAGGACTTGGTGGTCTTGCGGCTGGTGGTGACGGCCATCAGGAGGACGGAGGAGGAGGAGGAGGAGGGGGAGGAGGAGGAGGAGGAGGAGGAGGAGGAGGAGAAGGAGGAGGAGGAGGCGGAGGAGGAGAAGGAGGAGGAGGAGGAGGATCTCTATGGATCTATGAGGAGGGACAAATTTCCAAATCGCTAAGAGGTGCGGAGGGCATCCAAACGTTTTGCTGGTCCGTGACGGAGGGGACCTGCCCCGCCACGGCACCACGACAGCCCCCCGCACCCATAAAATCAACATTACTTGCACAGCGCCCCGACGGCGCGACCCAGGAACAGCCCCCAGGGGAAGCAAGGTTATCTCCGCACCCCGCGCAGCCCCGAGGGCCAGGGGTCCTCTACGCGCAGACGCCAGCTCAAAACGTCGCGCCTCCCAGCCTCAATCCCGCCGCCGACCTGGCCTTCTCCAGCTCCAGGAGGCCGAGCTGGGCGGCAACGAACGTGCGGCGGGCGCCGTCGTCGTACCGTGGGGCGGCGCCGAGCATCAGGTCTTCCCTTTCTCCTCGATCTGGCGGATGGCCCATTGGATCTTCGCGAGCTCTCCAAGGGCGAGGTCGTCGTGCCGCCAGGTGCCGCACTCCTGGAGCTGCATCTCCCTCTGCCTGAGGCGCTCGCACTCCTCCTTGTCCTTGGTGGTTCCCTTGTGGAACCGAGTGTTCTCCAGGATCTCCTCTTCATCGACGGCTACGTGGGTGTCGCGGCACCCGACCGCTCCCCGTCGGAGCCTTCCTCGAAGCTGCAGTGCGTCTCGCAGGCGACGTACATGTCCTCGGTCTGCGGCCCCCGCCCCTCCCCACCGGTGCAGCCGATGGAGTCCTCCTCGCTGGGAGGGGCGAGGCCTTGGGCTGCCATGCCCTTGTACTCCGCCTCCTTGCCGTCCTCCACGACCTTCTGGAGCTTGATCTCCAGCTCGTGGAGCTCCCCCTCCACCGCCTGCATGCGGCTGGCGTCGAACTTCTGCGGCGTGTGCTTGGACCAGTTCCTGCTGGATGACCTGCGCGGTCGGCTTGGAGCCCCCCTCCCAGGCCAAGGCACGGCCAGCCAAGGTACGCAGCTCCTCGAACTTCTCCAGCGTGTAGGAGTCCTTCTTGTGGTCGCCTGCCTCGGCAACCGCCGCCTTCGCCGCTTCCGCAACCGCCACTTGCAGAAGTCGCTCCGTCAAGGCTCTGCGGGTCGCCAGACCAGCCACCGCACGGAACACCGCCGAAACCTTCTCCTCCACCTGCGCCATGCCAGGGCGACGGGACCGCGCGTCGAGCGGGAGGAACCGAGCCTAGAGCCAAAATGGCTACGGAGAAGGAGGAGGAAGAGGAGGAGGAGGAAGAGGAGGAGGAGGAAGAGGAGGAGGAGGAGGCGGAGGAGGCGGAGGAGGCGGAGGTGGCGGAGGAGGCGGAGGAGGAGGAGGAGGAGGAGGAGGCGGAGCAGGAGGAGGAGGCGGAGGCGGAGGCGGAGGCGGAGGCGGAGGCGGAGGTGGAAGAGGGGAAGGAGGCGGAGGAGGCGGAGGAGGCGGAGGAGGCGGAGGAGGAGGAGGATGAGGAGAAGGAGGAGAAGGAGGAGGATGAGGAGGAATAGGAGGAACATGAGGACGAGGAGGATGAGGAGGAGGAAGAGGAGGATGATGATGATGCTGCTGATGATGATGATGATGATGATGATGATGCTGATGATTATGATGATGATGAGGATGATGATGATGATGATGATGCTGATGCTGCTGCTGATGATGATGATGATGATAATGCTGATGCTGATGCTGATGCTGATGCTGCTGATGCTGATGCTGCTGATGATGATGATGCTGATGCTGATGCTGCTGCTGCTGCTGATGATGATGGTGGTGGTGGTGGTGATGCGGCTGCTGATGATGATGATGATGCTGATGATGATGATGATGATGATGATGATGATGACGATGATGATGGTGGTGGTGGTGGTGGTGGTGGTGATGATGATGATGATGATGCTGCTGCTGGTGATGATGATGATGGTTATGATGCTGATGCTGATGCTGCTGATGATGCTGATGTTGATATGATGATATTAATCGTGAGAATAATAATTTGATTCGTAGTAGTCATAGTAATCAGAAGGATCGAATAATGAAGAAGAAGGAGGAGGAGGCGCTATTTATTTTCCTTACAGCGTAGTCTAGGCTGTTTCAGCCGCTTTTGGGTGCAAGGGCACTTGGGGGGGAGGCTGCGTTCGACAAACTCTCGGGCCACCAGGAACCAGGAACGAAGAGGGTAACATCGCGTCCAGTCACCAGAGATTTGCTTTGACTGTGACTGTTGTGACGAGGTCTGCGAGTGGACATTCTTGCTCTCCCTTGCCGTCGGCGTGTTCGCTCTTCTTCTGCTACTCCTCTTGCCTCCTCCGCCTCTTCGTCCTCCTCGTTAATTTCTCCCTGCTCACCCCTCCCACTCCTCCTTCTCTCGTTCTCCTCCTCCTCTTCCTCTTCCTTCTCCTTCTCCTCCGTCAATTTTACTTGGGCATAGTTCCTTCCTGTCGCGCCCAGGCCAGTCGGAAGGGCGGGCCAGGCGTTTCGCTTGAGATTTCCTTAGCATCTAATGAACCTCAAGCTGAAAAGCTGACAACAGTTTCACAGATGGAGGGCGGGCCGCTTTCCAAATAAGGCTCTCGCCTTAGCGCCGCGTACGTTTGTTTCACACACTTACAACAGTTTCATCGATTGAGGTCGGTCCGTTTTCAACATCTGTTTCTCGCCTTAGCGCCGCGCGCATTCGTTTTTAAACATTGGAAATCTTTGATCGGTTGAAGGGGCGGCTCGTTTTCAAAATGCGGCTCTCGCCTCAGGTCCGCGCACTTTTTTGGAAAACTCTGCAAGGGCTTCACGGATTGGGTTTTTTTGTTTGTTTAAATATGTGGAGCTCGATTCGGCGCTGCGCAAATCCGTTTTAAGCTTTGCAGGAGTTTCACTGGTTCTCATGGTTGACCTTCCAGAAATGGTGTTTCCGAACGGTTCAGGATTGTCAGGGCGCCACACTTACGCTACTTCGCGGTGTCGAAACCCCAGGAATAGCTTTCTGGTACGATTCCGGATCGTCAAGACGCAGCAGTCAGGTTGGCTAGTGGCTTTGAAGTCCTGAGACTGGTGTTTTCGGCCACGGGGCATTCCCCTCAGTGGCCTGTGAAGACTGAGCTTGGAGGGAGGGTGCATTCCAAAATAGTTGATGAGTCTTGGGCTTATACTTGTCCTCCTCCTCCTCCTTTTCCTCCTCCTTTTCCTCCCCTTTTTATTCCTCCTCCTCCTGCTCCTCCTCCTCCTCCTCCTCCTCCTCCTCCTCCTCCTCCTCCTCCTCCCCGTTCCCCCTTCCTCTTCCCCCCCTCCCCCAAGAGAAGGTTTACAGACAGATTGGTGTTCAAAGTTGCAAGGTTCCAAGTCTTTTCCCTGCTGCGCC